GTACACTCATTTCACATCTTCAAAGTCTGACGTAAAGTCTCCATCACCTGCTGCCGTGTTTCTGTATTCATTTCCACCACGAAAAGCAAGATGAAACCAGTTACCCAGTTGTTTTCAAATGCTCAGCACATAAATAAAACATGATTTCCCATGGAGCGAGGCAGGGAGTGAACAGGTAACTAAATAGGCTAAACTCAGCTCATATGCAGGAGACTGACCAGAGTCCAACCAAAGATACTTTTTCAATTATCTGTGTAAAATAAGGGAAAATTAACACTCTGCTCCATTTTTGCGGGAACATACTGGTTCTACTTGTTTACCTGACCCAAAAGAAGCTATTCTGACACAAGAAGAGTACTCCCTGAATCTCTTGTACTGATTAGGCTAATTCAGCTAAGAAGCCAGTTCCAACCATAGTCCTGCAAATTCCTTATACCAGAACCAAGCCAAAAAGTTTAATGTAAGTTGCAACTTCACTGCAGTTTCTCAGCTGACTCCCACTGCTATCTGGTTCAGCTGTGGTTCCCCAGGCACAGGCACCTCAATGACTGTGGTTATATAGAGGCTAAGTGAATTCTTTTCCTGATAGCAAGGAGATCCCAACACAATTCTAAGTAGGAACATAACATGCAACATTTGCTATCCTCTCAGGAGGACTTACAGCAGTTGTTCAACAGGTAGGAGAAGAAAGATGATCTTAGAGGTCTTTTCCAAACTAAATGATTCAACAATTCTGTGAAAAGCTCCAAAAACGTAACCTTTCAGCATTCCTTAGAAACAAAATAAAAAGACCCAAACCATACGCTACTAGGTTTTCTATCTCAGTCCACAGGGTAGACATAGTTTCATAAGCTTTTCACACATGAGACCACAGAAGGGCAGCCAGTCAAAAGCAGGAGTACTAACACTATCTCAGGTACAGCAAGTAGGTTGAGCTGATGTGCAAGACCTAAAATAACTGTATTTCACCGCAGATCCGGAACACCTGAACTGACAAGAGGTGAAATTGCATAAACCCACTGAGGTCACCAGGAGCCTAGTGCTGTCCATGGCTCAGCCATGGTGCTCTGAGCGTACAGCACACAGCACACTGACTCCACAAGGCACAGCAGCAGAGCCCTACAAACCCCACAGCTCCCAGACACACTGAGCTACAGTCTTCTAACCACTGGGAAGCCAACACAGCATTACTCTGTGACAGCTGATTCTAGTTTGTTCACACTCATCACTTGCCTTGGACCCAGGGATTCTGTCAACAGTGAACTTGGAGCATGCCAACTGTGTTCACCCTCACAGACAGCTCCTCCTACATCCTATCATCTCCATCCTCTTACACCCTGCATCACCTCATACAGAGGTGAAGCACGGTGCTAATACAGAAGGAACATTGCAGGGCAGTTAAGCTTGCAACAGGATGCAGAGATAAGATAGGATGTCAAGGGCAGGAAGGGCAAGGAACAGACCTTCATTCAGCATTCCTCTGGGCTCGGCGTACACAGCTGAGTGAGAAACAATTGCAGGAGCTGCCTGTGACCCAGCAGTTCCTTTTCAGTTCTGCACACAGAAAAGCACTGGAGTAACAGAAGCTCAGAAAAGGCAATTCCAGACATTTGAGCATCCCTGCTAGGGGCAGAAGCATCAGAGATTGCTGTGAGTACCAGGGAAGGGACACACAGACACACCATCTAAGCTTGTGCCACAGAATTTGGGACAATTCTAGACGCACGGTGCACTGTCAGTGGTGGCTGATACGCAAGGTGAAAATGTAATGTGTGTAGTTCAGTCCACGCTTCAGGCATCGATGCAACTTCATTAACTTTCTCAAGTACCTCCCCTGTGTACAATCACACAAGTCAATTTCACCCTGATAATCACTGGATAAAACCTTCCTCTCGGATAAAAGCCTCTTAAATAAAAGAACTCGTCCATACAGGCCTTTTGCTGGTCTGCTGATTCATCACCTTCCCATGCATTCCAGCCTGGCACGAAAACCAGAAGCTGAAACTAAACAGACAGTACTAAACTAAATTAGAACGTGTTAAAACTGAGCGCAAACTACCTGTCACACGCAGAGGAAGGAAAGCATCTACACTTCTTTCGCCTGCAAGACACAAACAAAAGTGCCCTGCTGTAACTCTCCACCGCTGCTGAACTTGGCAGGAATAGCTTGCGTCTCTAGTAGGAAAGATAGGAACGAGCGCGGAATTCCGGCTGCAGAGCCCGTGCATTGATATGCAAAGCAGGAGCGGCCGCGGGCTCTTGGCAGGGTGATAAAGCTGCCTTCAGCTCCACTCACACCCGTTACCGAGCACGCCGGCCGGCTGCACCCCCCGTCCGTTCAACGCGACTGCTGCCCATCGTGTCGGCCACGGTCAAAGGCGAACGCGGAACCAGGTGCACACAAACCGGGCGG